AGCTGCAAATATATTTTAAAAAGATAAATAAAGAGAGAGAAGAGCAGCGGACTACAGATTTATAGCAAGCTGTAGTACGGACTCTAAGACACAGTGAGTGTATAATAAGTGGGATCAGGTATTAATAATGTAGTATGTAACTATTGTATGAATGAGTTATTAGATTGGATATAGATGAATTGAAGCTAGTAGTTGGCTATACTATTAAACTTGCTCTAAGGAGGTGTTTAGATGACGGGGCCATAAAGTTTTGGCGTGTCATATCGGGTATTACGTAGAGTATCGCATGGTATGTTCAGGCGCTAAAAAAACTAATTACAGAATCTGTCAGTAAACTACGAGACGAATTTATTAAGTCTAATTAATCCGTTATTAGTATATATTTATTGTAGAACCACATTGTTAAATCATGGAGCAATTAGACTTAAAAAATTCGTCTCACAAATTAGTCGTAATATGTGTAATTAGTTATTTTTTTAATCTATATTAATACTTTATACATGTGTTCAAACATTTAATATGACAAGGCTAAGCAGCTTCTAGTTCCGCTGCTACTAATAGTATTACAAAAGGAATTTAAGAGGGCATGGAAGTGCACACGTACTAATCATGAAATGAAATGAGACTGGTGTCCCTGTGGGGAGCTCTTCCAGTCAAGATTTTACATGATCCCGATTCCAGACCAGATCTTCAGGTCAAGATTCGATCAAATCAGCATAGGCAAGTTGCCCCCATTTTCCATGGGAAATTCTCCTGTTAATAGAGGGGATGGTTGAAATTAATTTCCCACGAAGAATTCCTTTCAAAAAAAAATTTCCCACGAAGAATTCTCCTGTTTTGCAGGGGATGGGGATGATCCTACGTACCCGGTTCCCCCGGAGACACGCAGAAAGGGGCTCTAAATTCTTTTTTTTTTTCTTCACGTCATGTCATTATGTTACATGCGATCTTTGATGAATAACAATATTTTGTTTTTATCATGTCAACTAGTGGATATATATTGATATAAAATATGACTATATGTATTGTGCTACACATATAATTGGCGACGGAAACTCTGTGGGGATTAATTCATCGTGCGGGGACTCGAAGTGGTGGCCTCGATAGTGGCACAGGGTCACCGTGGATCTCTCCCCTCTCTAGCAGATCTGCCTGGGATGGCGCTCGATAACGGAACCAGTAATAATGACGACTGCCGTTTTCTCTTCACTTGCCACCCCCATTGAGCTTGCTGTCTCAATAGGGAGACATGGCATCCCGACGACCTCTTTCATCCACGTCATCCCTCCCAACTCAGGATCGCTGCCAACCTCTGATCTAATAATGTCATCATCCTCTTATGCGGCAATGTGGATCTTAGATCCGGTGCCGCTGAACTTTGATTTTATAGATCATGTGTCCTATGTTTTCTTGTCCACGTCAAGGACATGTGGAATCACAACAAAGTGCCTTTTGCAGTCCTGCTTCTGCACTTTTATCTACTTAAGGCACTCGTGCCTTACAAAGGGCACGCTAACACCCTACGAGATAACTACTCCTATAACTACTCCCGACTATATGACCGACTATATATTACTCAATAAGGCACCATATTTTGTATGTCCTTAGGCTACTCTTGTAACACATAAATTGTGCACGGATTTTTTAAGTATTTCGCATAGTTGATTCAAGTCATATTGGGATGGTTCAAGCATCTTTCATATCTGTTTAGGTGCATGGTTTTGGATATCCTTTGCCAAAATTAAGTACTTAAATTACCACGTTCCAAATAAAAAACCTAATTAACATGTTTAGGAATTGGCATTTTTGTACTTCCTCTGTTCTCGGATATATTTCTAGTATTTAAATTTTATACTCCCTTCATCTCATAATATAAGGCATGGTCAAACTTGACACGGTCTTCAAAACTAATCTTTTACTTATAATTTCTCATATACTATAAGGTTTATTGCACGAAATTATAACCATCTTAAAGTAAATTTAAATGTCAATCCAATTATATTAATTTTTGCAATGAAATTTAATTTATATTATAATAATTATTGGTCAAATATTTTTAAAGTTGAATCTTGGAATGTGTGCACGCCTTATATTACGGGATAAAGGGAGTATGTAACTAGAAAAAATACCCGTGCGTTGCAACGGATGAATGTTATTGTAATCTTATTATTGTTATATGGTTTAGTTAAGTTGAAATTCACTGTGGGAATGCAATTGGATATATATATTTCTAAAAAATCATAAGCTGCAATTAGTAGTCCAATTATCTTATGTTAGCATGCGAGTTTTTTAAAGCGATATCTTATACGAGTCCTTTTGTATTTCTAACAGCGAACGAACTTAAAATCCGACTCAAATATGAATCTGTATATTCAAAATCGAACAAACTTAAAAATCAACTCATACATGGATGACATACCAAAGTACTAGCAGGGGCGGATTCACAATGGGGGCGGTGGGGTCTTGAGACCCCACTACCGCCCCCGGGACAGTGGAGACCCCCCTAAGCCCCCACTAAATTTTTTTCCATAGATACATAGGATGTGGGGACTGGAGGTTCGATTTATGCTGATGTAGTTTATTCAGCCCCCAATATTATTTTTTTCGAGATCCGCCCCTAAGTACCAGTAAAAATATCTTTAATTTTTTTTATAATAGTAGAGATAGAGATATAGTATCTCCGGAACACTGATTCCAACACTCGAGAATCTAAGCATTTTAGGCTGTGTTGGACACTCAATGTTGGGGACGGTTTCCTCCGGCATGGAAAACGGAGCAGTTCATTAGTGCATGAATAATTAAGTATTAGCTAATTTTTTTTCAAAAATGGAACAATATAATTTTTTTAAACAACTTTTGTATTGAAACTTTTTGCAAAAAATGCACCGTTTAGCAGTTTGAAAAGCGTGCACGCGGAAAACGAGAAGGATAGGTTGAGAACCTGGACAAATGAACAGAGCCTAAGTCATTCAAATGCTTAGAGCACCCACAATAGTTATCTATAGGCTCTCTACAAGAGATCCATGTCAGCATATTTTTCTACTTGGAAGAGATTAAATAAAGAGAGAGAGCAAAACTATCTACTAACCTAGAGATAGTCTATAGAGAAAAACGAGGCAATGGATTAGACAGCTATAGATACCCATGTAGACATACCATTCAAGTGGTTTACTATTAATCTGATCTATTGCTGAGATGTACATGTTTTATAGATAGCACCTTACTTTACCATTGCGGGTGCTCTTAGGAGTGAAATTCAAACAATTAAAAATATGACCAATGAATTATCACTCCAAACAATTCACAATCTAGAAATACTTGTCATGGACAATCTAGTATATTTAGAAATGGCAATTACTCGCAGTAGACTTGGGATGAAGGCAGACAAGGAGGAGAAAAGCTCAAGAGAGAGAGGAGGAAGAAAACGTCCAAGCAAAGAGAGCCAGAGAGGGCTGGATTCCCAGTGATGATGATGATGATGATGGGCCTCGATTGGCCGGCCCAAGATTCGTAATGATGGCTCATCTCCGGGTTCCTCTCCTTTGCTCATCATCATCGCCCCGCTCTGTTTTCTCCTCCTTTCCTTTTTTTCCCTCGCTCCTCTCCCCATCTTTTAATCCCTTCTTCTTCCTCCTCCTCCCACAAGAATTACTCCATCTCCCTCTTCCTTTACCACCATCTCCACCCATCATGATCTCCTCCTCCTCCCATTCGAGTGCCTCACTATTGCAGCGGTAGCTTTTCTTCGATTTTTACCATGCCTCTCTTTATTTTGCACTTTCGGTCCGTTATGCTTTGCAATTAGCATATTGCTTGATATGGGATGTTAAATGTCTCGTGTTGGCGAGATGAGATTGAGATGTTGCAGTGGCAGCGCCAATGGTGTAGGAGGAGGGCACTGTTTGAATTAAAAGAGGAGAATCATCAGCAATGATGCCCGACAGGCTGGACTTTGCAGCTCCCGCGTTTGTGACCATTTTTTTCAGCAACTGCTATGATCAACTTCAGTTTAAGCTTCGTTTAGCCGCTGGCTACACTGCACCTTCTGTAGCTTGATCAATCTTCCCATCCCACTGAGGGCCGGAAGAATTATCATTTCCCCGTGAAATGTTGCGAAATTCTTGTGAAAAGTTCTGCGGTGTTCCACGCGCGCAAAGTCTTAGCTGCTTGAGAATGTAGTGCACATGGCTATAAATGTTTATGAGAAAACTGATAACTCATATGACATGACGATAGTTTTGGCTCAGTGGTTTTAAATAATTTAAGAAACCTTTTATAAATCATTTTTAACTGTATTTTGGCTACATACATCTCAATGTAGAGGTTGGATTGAATCATTGAATTCCAAGTTCTTATTGGTTACCCATATTCCCTAATATATGTTAATGCTGAAAAAAAACTTACATTGAAAACATTTTAGAATCAATTTCAAAATTTAAAATTAAAATTTAACTTTTGCTTTGACTTACTAGGGTAACCAATGGGCTCCACTGTCTAAAAAAATGAGTAAATTTCACAAAACTGCACGTTTTGTAGTCCAAGTTGAAGAAAACCACACACACTTTAACACTTGGCATTTAAGTATATATATTTTGGTAGTGTAGTTTCAATGAATGAATTCACCTGCGAGATGACATGACAGTTTCACCTAGGACAAGGACATGGCATCCTATTACCAGCAATCGCACGAAATTAATAGGATGCCACGTCCTCATCCTAGATGGAACAATCATCTCATCTCACAGGTGAATCCATTCATTGATAGCGTGGTTTTGTGAAACTAAACTACCAAAATATATGTACTTAAGTGCCAAGTATCAAAATGTGTGTGGTTTTTGCAACTTGAACGATAAAACATAAAATATGTAGTTTTATGAAATTTACTCAAAAAAAATTGTCGCACTATTTTATGGCATGCACCGAAATGCCTCTCCCGGTGAGCGTGAGCTCGCTAACGCTAGGCCGCTACCGGAACAAGCGGCGCCTATAAATAAAGCCCCACCCCACCACTGCGCCGCACCAAGCACACAAATCACAGCTGCTGCTGCTGCTGCTCTGCTCCCCTCCTACCACCTGCCCTTTTGCCCCCACGCACAACACACGTCGTCAGCCTCTGCCTTTCACGCTGCCGCCGCCGCCGCGAGCCTGAGCTCCGGTCTCCTCGCTCTGCACCGACTGTCTGCGTCATCAGCTCCGGCCACGGCGTGGTATACCTCCAGTCTTCTCTGCACTGCACTGCACCGCCTGTCTGTCTACTCTGCTCTGTTTTTTGGTCGAGTGCCTCCACTGTCTTTGTTTAATTATGTGCTCGAGACGAGTGAGTGGGTGTCATCTTTTCTTCTAATCTCGATGTAATGATGCATACGTTATGTATCTATGCATTCTTTTATTACAAAGAAATAGAAGAAGAATCCCTTGGCCCATGAAATGGTGGAGCAGAAGCTACTACTACTGCTACTGCTTCTTGTCTGATGAACTCTGACAGTGTTAGTTTGTGTGTGCAGGCGATGGACAGTCTGAACACGAAGCTGTACCTGCAGAACTGCTACATGCTCAAGGAGAACGAGCGGCTGCGCAAGGCGGCCGTGCTTCTCAACCAGGAGAACCAGGCCCTGCTCTCCGAGCTCAAGCACCGCCTCGCCAGGTCGCCGTCGCCGGCCGCCGCGGCACCCGGCGTCGCCAACGACAGCAAGAACGCCGCCGCCGCCGCCGGCCGCCACGCTGGCCCGCCTCCGGTGCAGGACAAGTCAGCCTCCAAGTCCAAGTAGGCTATAGCCACGAGCTCACAGCTGCTTGGTCACAGAGAAGCGGATGCTTGCTTGAGCCACTGTGGATGCATGGTGATGGTGCTGCAGGTGTTTGGGGGTGTGTGTGTTTTAACTTTAGCCGTGGATGTCAACTAGGAAGGCGTTTTTAATTACTTTCAGTTGCTGAATTCTGGATTCTCTGCTCACTGGTATGTAGTCTTAACATGATATCCTTGTAATGGATAGCCAGGTTAATTGGAGGTACATATACATAGCTTTGTTTTTTTAGCACATAGTACTAGTATATGTTTATGCTCAACACTTACCTCACGTGGCTGATACTACAATGCATCATGCATGGAAAAATATGTGATATTTTTTTATTTGTTGAACTTTTTTAAATTTTAATTTTAAAAATAGCCTTTCCAATACTTATTTTTAAAATTTGAATCTTGGTCAGGCAAACACAACTAGCAAAACAACATTATCAGGCTGGTCTAAATGTGGTGGCGTGGCAGGATAAAATTGTCATGCCTACTACGGTTGGCATGACAGTGTTATTTTGCCACCCGCATGACGTGGCCAAAGAGTTTAGATTTTGAAAAATAATTTTTTAGATTGGTTTATTTAAAATTAAAAAAAATAAAATGTTCAAAATATAATAAAAATTCAAAATATATAGTGTAAAAATTTAAAATGCAGTGTAAACCAACAATTAGATATAAAAATGGATGTTTAAGATTTGTTCACGCTATATTGAGTACTTCTAGTAGTAAAACTACAAGAAATAAAAATTTTGCTTACGGTGATATGAATAAATCTTAAACGTCTAATTTTTATTAAAAAAAAAAAGGTTTACACTCAGTATGAAAGTTGCGCTACATATTTTTCTGCCATGCATGATATGGCTGATTAAGACATCGTGAAAAAAAAGAGAGATGAACTGTGTACGTGCAAAATAGGTAATCCAAAGATTGTATTCACTGCAATCACATCTTCCCTGTGCTGCACACGCCAGCATCGATCATCATTCTGCATTGAGTACCCTGCCTTTTCATTTGTCCTACCAAACCATGAATCAGGAGCTTTCTTGACGTCTTATTTGGATTCAATCCCACATTAGATAAAATATTGATTATGGGAAAAGAAAAGAACTTAAAACGTGAGGATGTGTTCTTCACTCATTCCGCTAAAAGCTACTATCAGACCATGACCATGTTTGATTTAGACTGTTAGACAGATTAATTATTTCTAGGGAATAAATTGAGTAGTTTAAAAAATAAACTTATCAAATAGCATAAAACAGGTGATATAAATAATGTAGTAGAAAAAAATGTTTTTAGAAAACACATTTTTCTAAATTCAGATTAAATAATCCATTTCAACAATATGATGGACAACGTGAAGAACATAGCTCCTCACCTTGTTTCGGCATGTACAACAAATCAAGAGATATACTAGCTCCGAATATTGTTATAGTGTTCGTGACGATAACGAGTTTGGACAGGTCATTATGGGCTAATAGTCTTGAATGTATCTTTGTGGATAAATCTAAATTGGAAAAATTACATAAATCACCCCAATTATCACTCTAGTTTTGAGACTCCACCCTATAATTAATTCATGTTGTTACAAAAGCTAACCCACCAACACTGCCATGTCGAAATTGCTCCCTCTGTGCATGAGAACTAGCTAACTCGAATTGGACTTACCTCGTAGCCACGCTGAACGAGCCTGACCTGACTGATATGATCCACTGTGAATCCACGTCGGAAGAAATGAGACAAACCAACTACTCATGTGTCTTGGGTGGATGAAATTTCGCAACAAAATGGATGATGGGATGGAATCTCAAACTAGAGTGATGGGGTAGTTTAATACTCCCTCCGTTTCGAAATGTTTGACGCCGTTGACTTTTTAGCACATGTTTGACCATTCGTCTTATTCAAAAAATTTAAGTAATTATTAATTCTTTTCCTATCATTTGATTCATTATTAAATATATTTTTATGTAGACATACAATTTTACATATTTCACAAAAGTTTTTGAATAAGACGAACGGTCAAACATATGCTAAAAAGTCAATGGTGTCAAATATTTTAAAACGGAGGGAGTAAGTAATTTTGCCATCTAAACTATCTACTCCCTCTGACACCGTTGACCAATGCATGATTGTATTATGGACAATAAAAACGTTTATATTATTGACCAGTAAAAACTTTTAAATTTTTTAAAGAATACAAGTAGTATAGATTTGTATTTAGCATGCAAAGTGGTTTGATAATACATCTTAAATATTTATATTCTTTTGCTAAAAAGATGAACAGTTAAAATTTGTGCACAAATAGTATCCGGTGTCAAGTAAATAAGAATGGAGGGAATATCTAGCCGGAATCTAACCGTAGTGAATTAGAGAAGTTGATATCAACATATTAGTTATAACTTGTGAATTATTGATTTAATTAAGTTTCAAAATTACTATATCGATGTAGCACAATACCGTCTTCGGTTCCATAATTATTGACCTTTTGGATGACGACACAATTTTCAAAATATATATTTTACTATGTTTTTATTATAATATATACATTAAACAAATATATTTTTACTTTTCCTATAGTTAGTATTTTAAAGTTATTGATAGTCAAAGTTATAACATTATCTTGTGTCGTGCACCCAAAACTATAATCTCGAAAAAAGATAACTTTCTATGAACATTGCTTATAATTTTTTTTATAAATAATGGAGTATTTGTTAGCCTTAATAATATTTAGTTCCTTGCAATTTTCCTATGTCCATAATCTATTTAATTGAAACGTGCTACAGCTTTTATCCTGTTAATCGAACCATAACAAGGAATATAAGCATATATATCTCGTCAATATTCTCTTCCATGTAGAGTATCACTCCAACTCCAAGCTGACATGCATATCAAATGGACGTAACTACACAGCTAGTTGTAGCTGGTTTGTCTAAACCAACTACTACTCCATCTATAAAAGATACCATCCACCTATACTTCAAATGCAATTTTCTCTTAAACCACTCATCCGATCTACGATCCGATTACACCGTTGTGTTCGTAACAATTAAATCTTTACAACAAGATCTCACCTGATTATATTTTGATGAAAAATCACAAATTGCTTTTATGATATGTCTAAATTACTTTTAGATTTCACTAAGTTATTTCTTAGATATATAAAAGTAAATTCAGTAAAGCCTAAAATTACTTTACATATATTATAGAAGTAACTTAGAGCAAAACGAAGGTAACTTTGGCATGTCATTTGAAGTAAATCTGTTGTAGAGATAAAAACATGACTCTACCTAGAAATTAAATTAATCAGCACAAATTATGTAATTAACTAAAAACAATAATAAAAGTAATCACCTCAGAGCATCATGAATGTATAGGCACTTAAAGTAAGTTGTATATATGATAATTATATATATGATAGTTTGTTCAATGAAAAAAAGGCATTAATTAAAGTTACTTTCTTTTTTTATAAGTTACTTCTATAATATATGTAAATTACTTTTAGGCTTTACTTAATTTACTTTTATATGTCTAAGAAGTACTTAGTGAAATCTAAAAGTAATTTAGACATATCATAAAAGTAATTTGTGATTTTTCATTAAAATATAATCATGTAAGATCTTGTTGTAAATATTTAATTATTACGAACACAACGGTGTAATCGGATTGTAAATCGGATGAGTAATTTAAGAGAAATTTTTATTTGAAGCATAGATGATATAAATATTTCTCCTACTTACTTAATGGATTAGTACTATAGTAAAGTAAGATTCTTCAAGTTAACACATATCTAGATAGAGGTCGCTCGTTATGACTAAATCGAGAGCGCTCTCGATTTAGATTTTGCGATATCAAATATAGTAGTATCAGCGGTAGCCGAACCTGTTAGGTGGGTGCAATCTAGTACACGAATTTGTAAAATGCTCGTTTTGATGCATGAACTTATTTGGTGTGTGTGGAGAAAGGCTAAAAAAACACTACATGGCTAACTTATTGATTTCACCTCTTTAATAAAAGAATGGGATTTAGAGCCTGTTTAGATTGTAGCCAAAATAAATCTTACCAAGTTTTGGCAATGCCAAAATTTTGACAAGATGACAGTGTTGCTAAAATTTTCAAAATTTTGGCAGGATTTATTGACCAAATTTAGCAACAAACTAAACGTAGACATTTTTTTTTGGTAAATTTGCCAAAAAATGGTATAGTTGAAAATGGCATCAAAGTAAACAATCCCTTAGTTATCTTAGAGAAAGATAGGAAAAATCGAGCATCGATATAAGGGTTAGGAATATATGGAATTCATCATTCCATTGAAGAATAGAGACCCGATTTATAAATATAGCACGTTTTATGCATACTCACTACACGTATGCACATTACATCCTAATCAACATCAATTTTGTAAAAGTAACATTGCCAAGCCATTTTGGTTATAGTTCGCACAAACTAGACAAGTTCATGTACCGAAGCAAGTATTCTATAAGTTCATATACTAAATTGTACCTACTTTGTACCGACAATACAATTTTCTCTATGAAATATCTTAATGTAGATAATAAATTCATCAAATTGGTCCATCAGCCTTGGACCATCCGCTTCTCCAGTTTTTTTTTTTGGCAGAACATGCTCTTTTGTATTAAGAGGGGAAATTTCTTTTAAACCTTCACAAGCAACGAAAGCAAGGAAACAAACGGATAAAAAGAGAAAAAGAAAGGGTGGCGAGTTGCGTAGGGCTTATCTCGCAGCTAGTTTTGCGGCCGGATGGGGGTGGCTGCTCAGATGGGCAGGCCGGCTGCACGTACGTCAGAGTTCAGACCGCCGCCTCCTCCGCGGCTGCGCTAGCAATTTCTCCCCAAGATCTACTCTCGTTGTTCTTCAGTTAATTTAGCCATAGGAACTAGTAGGAAGGAGTATCCAACATCTTTGCTGTTACTATCTGACAGTCATCACACTCCAAGCAAAACGCCGAGAGCCACCTTGTAATGAGCATGACTGTATATGGGCTTCAAGCAGAGCTTCGGGACCAGCACTGAATAACCAGACAAAGCAGGGAATTTTGTATACATGTATCATGTGAAGCACCTGATCATGAGTCATAATGCCCAGTGCCAAATGGTACTGAGTACGTTGTGTACACATGCATCCAGCAGTTATAAGCACCTGATCATGAGTCATTATGCCAAGCGCCAAACCATGCCGGGTACCACTTCACTGAAAAACATGATGATCATTTGGCAACACGAAGCAGACGCTGAACAGACAGATCGAGCAGAGAAACAACTCAACGATGTCGAGTAGAGCGTGGCCCTCACATGTTACACCTACGGTGAATCGCACAAGGCCATAGAAAAGAAGGCAAAAAAAAAAGGGGGGGGGGGGGGGTTCCGTTTCGTTTTTCTCATGGCGGAGACAAACGTACTACACTGAAAGCACGCTGCACATGGCTTTGCAAGGACGAAGGGTTGAAAAGTAAGTGATAACTGATAACCCCGACATCCCATTACGATTCACATAACAAATATGTACAAACTTTTGACACTGCGACAACGGGTTCTTTCAGCCTACAGAGCGTGGCTGCGCTGCACACCCGCACGGCAAACGACGAAGAGAAGAGAACAAGGCAAAGCCCAAAACGGGACACGGGCTGCCACCGTCGAACACACCAGCCACCACCGTCGCTGCCGGGCTCCAGCAAGTACACAGCCCAAAATGGGACACGGGCCCAAAATGCATTCGCTACCATTACTCTAAGCTAAAAAGCTGCAGAACGGCAGATGGCCGCCACCGGCCTCGGTCGGGTGACCGGCCGGCGATCGATCACTCGTCCGGCACCACCTCCATGTTCTGCTCCTCGTACTTCACGCCCACGAGGAACGCGATGCTCACCTGCACAGATTAGCAAAGGAAATCGTCGTCAGCCGAAGCCGAAAAAGCGAGATAAGACTCTTGACTTCTGCTGAGATTTGATCACCACACCAAACCAATATGTAGTTGTTACCTGCTTGGGGTCGTACACGGCGTACTCGTTGTACTCGAGCGGGCCGTCCTTGTTCGTGGACGGCACCAGCTTGCCGCACGGCACCGTGACGCCGTCCCTCCAGGTGAAGTGCTCCGACGGGTCGGTCGTCTTCCTCCCGACTCCCTTCACGCCCATCTTCTTCTCCTCCATGCGTTTCACGTCCTAGCAAAACACCACACGGCAGCAGCGTCAGGACCCAACCATGGCAACATTCTAGTTTTTTAGATAATGGCAACATTCTAGTAAACATGTCAAAGATCCAAAGATCAAAGATCAGAGAGTACCTCTGAGCCTGGCGTGCCTGTTATCTCCTGGATCTCTTTCCCCAGAGATGCCACCGCCAGGACCAGGTAACCCTCCGGACGATCCACCGCCGTGAAGCCGTAGAGCGCGGCTTCGGCTGCTGCGTCTGAGCAAACTATGGCTTTGCCAAACTGCGTCCATGGATCGAATAGTCTTTTAGAATCTTTCAGCACAATGCTAGGATGAGAAATGATTTGCATGGCCGACGAATTATTACCATGTATCCCGGCACTGGTATATGGCAGACAGCAGGCACGAAACCATCGCGCAGGTGCCTGAGCAAATTTGAACTTCTTGTTCCTGTGGAAAAGAGAAGAAGCTCATGTGATAATTGGTAAACCATTGCCTAGAGTACCCAAAAAGTGACATAAATTTAATATCTGCGAGGGGGTTGAGTAGAAAGTTATAAACACTTACCACACCAGAGGAGAACTTTGTTCGGAAGTTTCTTTATTTCATCATAAGAAGGAAGAGCACTCGATTCAACAGCATATATCCGCTCGACAGTAGCACTGTAAACCTGATGAAAATAGGCATATTTCAAAGGAAAAATACGAATTTAAACGAAGATTCTTTTTTTCTAAACCAAAATGAATGGGAGTCCAATGTAGCACAATCTGGCATCTTACCACATCGCCAACCTTGACAGGCTCGTAGGTTTTCTCCAGATACTTCAGGATCATCTTATAGTCCTCCGAGTCTTCAACAACACGATTGATAGAACAGCCTAGTTTCTTGTAGCATTGAGACAGTGGGTCATCTAAAGTTGAACCAAACACATCACCAATAAGACGAGAAGCGACATTTATATCACGAACAGTCTCCAAACCAGAAGCCACCTGCATGCCATACGAATTATGAAAGAAAGAAAGAAAGATCAACAAAGCAGATTAAACAGACCATAAAAATAACAGTGTGAGTATAGATGCACTGTGCATCGTACATTGTCAGCAATCTGTTCATATCCCTTCATTGTATATGGACGAGTTGTGGGGAATAGGGTGAACCACTTATTGCTGATCTCCATCCAGAATGCGTCAGCAGCAGGCCCAGACTCTGGAGCAGACTCGACATCTTGTTTCCACTCTAGTAGCGTCTCCTCCCCTGCCAAATGGAACAGTTGATGAACTCTGCACGCCATGAGTCGCGACGATGATGAAGTAACTGCTAAATGCAATAAATAAGATAACCTAACCTCTTTTCAGATGGAGATCTGTAAGCATCCCGATAGGAAGGTCTGGCACATCATGGCCCATCTCTGTCAAAGCATACCTGTGACAAGAAGCTCTAAGAGTAAGCTCCATAAGAAACACATGATAGTTCATTATCCAAGCGGAAAAATAATAATAAAAGAACCACATTGTCTCAACTGAGTAACTCAGAAGTAGTGATTTATATAAGACCTGTATATTTCTTGGCTGCATAGTTGTTTCATGATAAAAGTAACAGAAGGGTCAAGCTTGCAGTGTGCTGCAGCAGCTCCCAACTGACGAAGAGCCACACCACCATGGCGCACGTCAACACCATCATCCTATCAAGGAGAACAAAATACAACAACATTCATGGGTAATACAGGTATGAAATCAAAAAGAAATAAGCTAGAAGAGTGAAGTACCATGTCCAAGGGATACATCTTCATACACTTCTTCTTAAATTTCTTCTCTCTCTCCCATGGTTCAAACTCATTTCCAGTAACCTCCTCAAAAAGACGGACAAATTCCTTGATAGCATCATTGAAACGACTACCAAAATCTTCAACCCGTTCCTCTGCCATCTGGTCATGTCCAATAGGACCCTTCTTGTAGTATAGGTGCAAATGGTTCTCAGGCACCATGATCAGCTGCATAATGCATAACCTGCAAAGAGCCGTCTTAAGTTGCTAAATCCAGATACACTTGACTGCCACCCATTCCCTTAATATGTAATGAGAACATAATGCTTAATATGTAATGAGAATATAAACATACTGGTTAATATCGCCTCCTAAATCGCACACAGAAAAGGCACAATTGTAGATGATGCCATCCTTCTCATAGATATGTCCTCCGTCTTTCTCCAGTTTAGAATCTTTGTGCACTGCTCTTTTGCCTGCAAGTTTAAGCTGAAGAAAAAACAAGCAAATTACTAGAGATACTAAAACCAAAGGTGCAATTTATGAAATGCACTTGACCAGGCAACAACCTCTGCAGCCAAGGTCTCGATAGCCTCCTCAGTTGGATCAAGGTTGCCCAGCGGCAGCCCTCGGCCTTCTGGAACAACATCAGATGCAATATCATAAGCAGCCAAAGGTTGCTTTTCCTTCTTCTGGACGCTATCAATTATCCAATTCTCACTCACAACAGGAGTTCCACGCTCCCTGTGGTATGGTCCCAGATGTAAGAAGAAATCAATATTCAGTAATACGTTCCATCATCCAGTGTCGCAAGTATTTTTATTCAACCATCTTAATCCATTCTATCGCTGTTCAGAGGAAGGAATATATCAAAGAACAGAAGGCAAGGGCTTACAGTGCTTCGGCAAATCCTCCAGAGCCACCTTGATGTCTCTCAGCTGGGGAAGCCACTACACAAGTGACACCTGCGAGCACAAAGGAATGGACTCCCAACTGTGTTATCTTGCATTATGATGAACTAGATCAGACTAGATTAAATAGATAAGATACACACCAATCACGGAGTTGTTGACTTTCCCTCCATGCTTCATAATCTGCTCCTTGAAATAACCCTGTCCATTTTAGTACCAACAGAATTAGATTCCTGAAACCCATTAACATAGAGTGAATTGGAAGCAATGTTCAGAGGAATTACATGTGAGCGTGACATCCTTCCAGACAATGCAATCATCATGCCCGAGAAGATACCCTCGTCATCCAAATTACGTTTAGGGTACTTATTCCCTTCTTGTTGCTTCAGCCACTGCAGAAGAAGAAACAAAATGCAGCTTATATACAGTAACCCAAGACATGCAGCAAAGATAGCAAATAAATACTCAAAATGCAGCTTCGTTACCTTGCGCACGAAATCATTCTTGACATCATCAGGGACCTTTATAGGACCACCTCTCCTCGAAGGATTGTTAGTACTGAAGCTACAACATGCCCACTCACTGTGAGTCCCAGTGCAATTGTATTTCAATCCCTTACACTCGAGCTGACCACCGCATACGGGGCACTTGTCAAGAGGCCCATAAAACATCACATCCTCACTGCAGCGATGGAGCAAATCGTTACACTGAATCCACCATAAGACTAAATTCGATATTTTGATAAAAGAATAGTTTCATATTTTTAAATAGACAATACCATCTTGGGACAACTGCATCTTCTGATCCAGATGCATCCTGTTCATTGCCTTGGAGGATCTTGCGCATGTCCTCGATCGTGAGGTGTTCCCTTATGGCCTTGCAGAATTCAGAGAACTCCTTCACGGCTGTTGCCTTCCCATTCAGGTCAGATTCCTCCGCTTTGAGCTTCTTGTTCTTTGATGGCTCCTGCTCCCCGTCGTGCTCTTCATTGTCGGCTGTCTTCTTGTTCTTGGAGGGCGCTTGCTGGCCACCTTCCTGCTCTTTGCTTTCTGTCTTCTGCTTCTTCGGAGCAGCCTTCCCTTCTTCTTGGGAAGCCGCTAGTGTGCGTGATCTTGTCTCGTGTACCTGAAAAGATAATAACAGTTCAAAATGAGATTCGCACAAACAATTGGAAAGTGATTATTTTGAAAATAACCACTTTCCAATTGTTAAAACTGGAGACGACTTGGGGTTGGGGGTCTCCCTCATGATTGGAAAAACAGATGTCTTAACTCCTAATTCCTGAAGGCTAAAGCTTTAGTGAAGTTGATTCCAACACATATGAATCTACTTATTCAGAATCGTTGAACTAGCAACTAATAAACTAGTTACCCAACAAAACTACTGAATCTTAGATAATCTTTACCATCAATTGGCGAACCTGATTAGCAAGCTGCAAGCAAAGCACACTACTAATACTCAATAATCTCAGAGAAAACAAAGAGCTACTACTAGTCTACTACAAATTGAACACTCACAAAGGTTAAGGGCCAACCAAGAAACAATCCGTCCACACAAACAACTGCAAACTATAAGATCAAAGCTGCTATGAATAATGGATTAAAAGTTTAAAGAAAAAGATGGAGGCGGCAATGCAAAGAGCAGAGGAGGCACAAGTACAACAGCGCAGACCATGATGACGCGTGGGCGAGGAACAGGAGGGAGCGGCGACGAGCATCAGGGATCTCGAACCATCTCTCCACCCCCCTCCGCGGTTAAATATAAACGGGCTGGCTCGCTACGCTCGGTGGCGACTGGCGGAGTGGGTGTCGCCGCGGCCGCGCTCCAGGTGTTTGCCCTCCTCCGCCTGCCTGCCGCCGCGGCGACACGTAGCCCACCCACGCCCCCATGCGGACGCGGAGACGCTGGCACGCGCGCGCCGCTCTCTCGGGCTCCGCGAACCGTGGGGGTGGGACTGGGAGGGAGACGCGAGACGTGGGGGTGCGGAGATGCGGTGGAAATGAGGCTCGGATGTTTGGGGGGCGGTGGAAGCGGTCGGATGAAATGCGGCGGCGTGCCGGCGCTCGCCGTTCGCCACGACCCGCTTCTGTACTACTCCTATACCGCTTCTTGTACAACTCCTATGTGTATATTGGTTGGGGTTTTCCCAAGATTCGTGTCCGCGTTCTCGCCCGTTCGATTAGGTCGGTGAGCATTTCAGCCGTTGGATGAGTCAATGAGAGCACTGAGGGCCCTTCTCTCGTGTGACCTCGCTGTGTTTTGGGGATTTTTGTACTCGGGAAATATAGGACTTTGGTACGCAGGATTGTCAAAATACGGGTATAGAAAAAAAAGTAGGAATTGACTGTTTGGATTCCTACGGGATTTAAAAACACATAAAAGTTTTAAAACTACCGTTTGATAGTTATACAGGAAAAACGTAGAAATTCAAGACACGGGAAGAAGAAAACACGAGCGGAGCCATCATTTCGCTTATTCAAACAGCATATTTGCAAACGAAAAGTAATTTATGAATAAAACTTCTACATACGTGTTCTTAGTGAACTAAAAGCAAATGTTGAAAAATAAACTTCAAATAAAAACCTAAAAATCAACTCCAAATTTAAGGTTCAAAATTCAAATTTTGGTTGATAAGCATAAGCGAAAAGATGAGACCCGAGATAAGACATCATACTAATTTCCCTCCAAAATTCCTCTACAATACTTTATTCCATAGGAATTTTAAAGGGATTGGTAGGAATCAATCATTTATTTCAAAGGGTCTTATAGGATTATTTTTCATAGGGTATAAATCCTTTGGAATTTCTATGTTTTTCCTTTGTTTTAAAGAAGGCCTAATCAAATAAATCGTCGATACCATAGTGATCTTACACGAAATTCAACCATGCATCCATACTGTCTATTCTACTCTAAGAATTTCCTTTTTTTTCCATGTGAGGTTCTGTCGACGGTGAGTACCCGTAGACCGGATATAGAAGGTATTGGGGTACGCTGGTACGAGGATCTACGTAATACGACATCAAGGAAACAAGAGACAAAGATTATACTGGTTCAGGCCCCTTAGCGGGTAATAGCCCTAATCCAGTTGATATGGGATTATATGGAAAGAACCACAGATTACAAAGGGAGTAGTAAAACTCAGCGGTACCGACGAGACCATAGTCAAGTTGATTCGCCTAGATCACCCGGCGACTTGGCTCCTGTAGTCTCCGACTTCGTAGGCTATGGTCGTTGTGTAGGCTCTGAGATTCGATCCCTTAAGTTCCCCCGGGGGGTCCCTTTTATATCGCAGGTCAAACGGTCTCTAAGTAGGACTCGGAGACACCGGACCCTGCACGATATAGTAACGACCCAGTCCTATACGGGTAGTAACCTTTCCATTGGCAGACTTTGTGATGGATTTCCTTAACGTGTTCAGAGAATGTCCGTATATGCACCGATATACTGTATTGCCATATAGCATATATCGAAGGGTAGAGGTTATACCTTATCCGTAACCCTGACAGTAGTCCCCGACTTCAACTTAAATGAACTCATGTAACCAATCGCGACTTCTGGTATCGGAATTGTTGTCGTTCCTGACTGGTCGATCTCGGTGTGAGGGCCGTAGAGACAAAGAGCATTCGACAACACCATGTGAAGTCCAACGGTTATGAGTGAATTTAAATTGAAGTCCAATAAACCGCCTCGCGTAACGGACCTAGAAATTTCCGGCGGCCACCTCTCTCCTTTCCTTGGAATTCGCACCGTCGGTAGTGCGCCTATTTAAGGGAGTTTTGAGAATACATTTTAGAGTCCGGCGTTTGTGAGAAACTTCCTGCCTCCAAACGTTCTTCGTCTTCTCCGCTCCCACACAAACCCTAGGTTCGTGTCACGTCCTGATAAATTCATCCCGAAATAAAAATCATTCTCTAAAAGGAATAATAGAATTAATTAAAATTCGAAAAGAAATTGGCAAACATTAAAATACGTACAAGAAAAATTCAAATGTGGCCCGGAGAATTTTTGTTAAATTCTCCTTGGTCAAAAAGGAGCCCTCAAATTTTAGTGGAATTTTCAGAGCACAAATAATAATTATTAAGAAATAAACAAAGTTAAAATGATTTTTATAAAAAGAAAAACCCTAAAAAGTCTTTTTCCTCCCCCCTCCCCCTCTTGGGCCGGCTCGGCCCATCTCTTTCCCCCTCTCTCCTCCTCCCCGCGGCCCACTCGGCCTCTCCCCGCGCGCGCGCCGCTGACGGGCGGGCCACCCGCCACCCTCGCTGACGGGTGGGGCCCACCTGTCATCCCTGTCCTCCCGCCGCTCCCGCCGCCTCGCCCGTGCCCTAGCGCCGCCGCCGCCGTGAATCCCGCCGCCTCCCGCCGTCCCCGCGCGCAATAAAGTGGGGGGAAATATTCCCCGTGATTCCCTCCCTCTTTCCCCCCATTTCTCCCTCCCTCTCTCCCTCGGATTCGTTTGGAAACCCCTCCCCTAACCTCGCCGGCGCCATTAATGGCGGCCGGGTCTCCCGCGCTCGTTTCCCCCTCCTCCGGCCGCTCTCTCTCCCTCCCAACGCTATATAAACGCTCCCCGTGCCTCCCTCCACCGTTTCCGCCACTCGCCGCTCTCTCTCTCCGCCGGAATCGAGCTCGCGCCGTCGCTCTCTCTCTCCGCCGTCACCGTCGAGCTCCGGTCCGCCGCCGTCGTCGCCTCGGACCTTCTCCCGCCTCGGCGTCGCCTCCTTCGGCTCCGCCGCGTCCTCGCCGATCTCGTCCACCTCTCCGTTTCGGTTGCCGACCGCCGGAACGCCGCCGTCCCCGTCTACCCGAGCCGCGCCGCCGCCTTCCTCCGCTCCGGTCGCCGTTCCCGTCGCCGCCGTCGACCCGGGGTGAGCCGTGGACCGCCGTTTCGCTTCCCCCTTCCCTCCCCTCTCTCGGGCGCCGCTCCGCCGCGCCGGTGGTCACCGGCGGCGACCATCGGGGCGCGGGTGCGCCGTCTCCCGTCGGCTGTGCCGGCGTGGCCGCCTTCGGGCGCGCCCCGCGGCTGCCATGTGGGGCCCGGCCGTCAGCCGCCCGCGCCCTCGGGTGCGGCTGACGCGTGGGACCCACGGCGCCGACCGGTGTGAGCCGGGTGCACCCGGTCCACCGTGGACCGTGAGGCTGCCGCGTGGGCCCCACTCCTGTGGACCCGGTCCGCGCGCCCCTCCCCTCGGCTGACGCAATAAATCCAATTTTAAATTAAAATTTAAATGAAGAAATTCGCAAATATCCATTTAAAGAGCATATAAACTTCAAATGGCCATAACTTGGCCATTTGAACTCGGAATTGGACCGTTCAAGTCTCTAATTTTTCCTTAAGAAGTCAAGAACCCATTTTTGTGCTTTGTTCCTGCTTGTTATATGGAGTTTATTAGAGTAAAGCCTTTTCTTTTCCGTTGGTCGTGTAGACGCTGCAGCTTCGGAAGATCCGCTCTTCGTGGAGGTTGAAGCCGACGTTTGGGAAAGCGAGCAAGGCAAGTCACATCATCCTTGAGCATATTGAATCCCAGTTTATAAAATTATTTTGATTTAAATTAATGCATTATCGCTTTATTTAAATTCCTGCGTTATCACTGTTTTATTTAGCCATGCCTATTTACCTTTGTTATGACCTTATTATTATTGCTATTGCTATTATTACCTTGTTCACCCTAGAATAAACAAAACCCCAACTAGTGGACACTCTATTCATGGTTCCACTAGTATGAATTTAGGTAGATGCTTCGCTGTTTAATTAGGCAACATTAGGTGGTTTTATAAGTTTAGACTTGGGGAATTCTCATATCACTTGGATACTATGGAATGGTTGGCTTATTGTGGAATTGGACATACCCCTCTCTTCCTCTTTCAAAGCCCCTAAAACCTGTTTTTCGGTGGGGTTTGGGTGCATGCTAGTTGTGGGAAGTAGCACCCCGGCCACTATAAGGATTAAGCTCGGGCCTCTGTTGCAAAGCACTACCGTACTTCCACATGTCTAGTGGGTAAGGCTTAGTTTGTGGCTCAGTCTGGTTATAAACAAAAGTACACGGATGGAAATGGACGAAGTCGGGGGTCGATGGACATCTCTAGGACAAATGAAGGCTACACGAGCTGCGGCCCGGTAGTCGAGATGTCATGGCACAGGGCCGGTGTCCTGCTGCTAGGGGGCTCAATCCTGCCTGCCTGTCCCGGGGGTTCCGGCCGTAGGTGGGGTTGGGTCGGTACTCTTGTTTATGGCTAGGATGGGTTGGGAACTATGTCACGTCTTCCGTCCGTATACCGTGGTGGTATGTGGTACGTGGTTACACGTGAGGAAGATGTGTCTTGTGGGTAAAGATGTACACCTCTGATCAGAGTATAATCTATTCGAATAGCCGCGCCCTCGGTTATGGGCAAGCCTAGCAATGTACCCAAGTTAGTGTTTTAATTCTTAAAATTGGCTTAACAACTAAAATATGGAATGGTTGGCCTGGGTTGGCTTGGGACGAGCTGGGACCCAGGGTCGGGTTGCCAGTTCGGTCTGAATCATCGTAGGCCTTGGGTTAAGGCAGGTTCGTGCGGGTTCACGACCTTGATTAATAATACTGTGTAGCTCTAGGATCGTCTTTATAAAATGGCTTTGGGCAACTAAGTGACTTTTAAATGCTGTTTTCTGCAAAACTTAACCCCTATATCATTACCCCTTTTACCCCCTTGCATTAATCGTGCATTCGCCGGTGTGGCTTGCTGAGTACTGTGGTTGTACTCATTCTTGCTCTATCTTTCTCCCCCCTTCAGTAAGAGAAGCTTTGGGAGAAGAAGTCTTAGGTGGAGTCTTGGCTTATACCCCAGTTGAGCGCCTGTGAAGATGGAGCCGTAGGCCCGCTAGTCCGCTGCTGTTTATTTTTGATTGTCAGGCCTGAAGTGCCTTTGTAATAATGTAAATATAATCGATATAATAAAGATGTGCCTTTTGTATCATGTTTGTTTG